TTGCTTTCCTGCAAGTTGAGACTATTGTGATGAGTCCTTAGTCTGGTAATGTCCAAATATGTTGTTTTTCTTTAGCATAGCTATAGTGTCATTGAGTAATAAACACAATGCTTTGCCGTTTACTTAATAACAAAATGATTTATTCTCTACTGTGCCTTAAAACTGTCACATTCGAAGTCCATTCTTCTCTTCTTATTTTGACATGTTGGGTGTATACTGCTAATTTTTTTTTTTGAAAAGTCACTGTACAGTGATACACCTGACACTCAGAATGCTGTTGAATTATGACTGTGTCACTGTGATTTGTAGTGTGCCAAGCCACAGTACAAAGCAGTGAGAACGACATACAATTTCTGTTGCGGCTGGCTACTCACTCTGCCATGGCAATGCAGTCAGCCATATGCAACATGTGTGTTCCAATAAAACTGTTAGGGACACAAGTTTGAATTTCATATAATTTTCACATCTTATGAAATGTTATTTTTATTTTTTCAACTATTTAAAAAATGTAAAAACCATTCTTAGCTCATGGGGCACACACAAATAAATGGTGGACTGAATTGACTGGTAGCTGTAGTTTGCTGACTCCTGCTCTAAGAAGAAACAAAGATAATTGGGTACTTATTTAACTCATTCCAATACAAAATCTAGTATCAGTCATTTTTAGTCTCAAATCTTTTTAATCATGCCACCTTCCTGCTTTTTTAAATGGAAAGAAATAGAATGAGGCATTTGCAAGAATTTATTAAATGGTAATGAGTCTGTAAAAGTCACATGAGGACATGGCTTCGTGATGAACAATATTCATGTTGAAATAAATAATATTACATCTTTCCATTTCTTATTTTTTAATCATATTATTAGATTAAAAGATTTAGAAAAAGTTAAGTAGGGCCAGCCAAGTGGCGCATTGGTTAAGAGCTGGCTTGGGACTCCAGCTCTGAGCAGCAGGGCCCCGGTTCGGATCCCACATGAGGGCCAGTGACACTGCCCTCTACAGCTAAGATGGTGAACAACAGCTCGACCTGGAGCTGGGCTGCCGTGAGTCGCTGGCGACGGCGTAGGCTGCAGCCCCTGCTGCAGTGGGCTGCGGCCGGCAGCCAGCGTGGGCGGCCAGCAGCCGGTGTGAGCTGCCAAGAGCCGCTATGAGCGGCCATCCAGAGGCCGGTGACCGATCTGCCTCATCCGGGAAGAGCGCAATGATAATACCAACATGGGCCAGTGAAGCAACATCCTCCACAACTAAACTGAAGAAAAGGACAGCAACTTGTCTGTTCCCCTACCCCAATTCCCCAACGCTGTTCCCCTCCCCCAATTGCCCAATAAAATCTTTTAAAAAATAATAATAAAGTTAAATATAAGCATTCAAGAAAATATTTAGGTAATTATCATGTTTATGTGAATTCTCCATGTACATATATAAAAATTTTGATTTTCTCTTTTTAGAAAAAGAAAATATTTAGAAATTCAAGAAAATATTTGGAATATTTAAATATAAAGAAGGATATTTTTGTATTAGACTTGTTAATTACTGTGTTATCCTTGTCTAGTTACATTTGTCCAATTCGAAAAAAATTTTGATTGTCTTCTGATATTATGAATCTATGGTTTGTGAGAGAAAAAGCACAATAATGTGATTATTTTTTAAAAAACAGGTGAATTTAAAAAGTTTCTTTAAATCTCCAAAATGCATCCAGTGAAATATTTATCATGAATTTACTTTTTTACATACCTACACATATGCACACGTGAACACAAACAGTAAAGGACCAACTTTTTTTGTTTTGTTTTTTTTTGTTTTTAGGAAGGTTGAGTCAGGAACCTCTTTAAATATTCAACTTGGGTACTTAAAGTTAAAACACTACAGGATATAATGGAGAACTATTTAAAGTTAAAATATTGCAAGGTAACCAAGAATAGAGTATACTTGAGTCATTCCTTTCAGTTCTAAGGGTGAGCTGGCAAAAATCTTCCCTCAACCCTCTTTTTCAGGTATCGTTAACTTCAAGACAAGAGCCTTCACATACCCTAAGTTCTGTCACTTTTTTGGGTACACAAGCATGGTGCAGTAAGGTCTGTTTGGTGCCTGGGAAGCAACAGAAAGTAATATAAAGAACAGATTTTGGAACTAGACAGACAGAGCATTTGAACCTTAGGTCTGCCACTTTTTAGCTCTCCCATCTTGAACAAAATCACTTAACTCTCTCAACTATAGTTTCTTCATTATAAAATGGGATATAATGTCAACTTGTATAGTTTTTGTGAGGATTAGAAATAATATGTGGAAAGTACCTGGAAAAGTAGGCATTTGGTAAATGCTGGCAGTGTTAATTTAGTGTTGTGCCCTGTCCTAGTGTAGTGGGCATCTACACTAGGTAGATATGAAGTGATGGTTCCAAGGCGAGAACTAGGAGCTCAACTGGTTGTAGAGATCAAGTCCTCCCATTCTTTCTTCTGATAACTACACCTGCTGTGCATGGAATTAACTCACAATTTTAAAATGTCATCAGTTTTACCATATAAAATTTAGAAATGGGGTTTTCTACTCTCTACTTTTCGTTTTTGTGGTGATAGTGTGTGCTTCAGACATGTTATGGAATGTGCCTAATTAAGGCTATCCTAAATTATTTCCATTTCTTACCACCATATGAAACAGGAAATCTTATTAACCTCCTATTCTTCAGCATAAAAGTTGTGATCAAACAATATGGTGAATGTTTAAATAAAAAAAAATTCTTTACAGTAAAAGACACATTGCCATTAAGCCTCAAAATACTGCCCCTCACTTTGAACGCACTTATCCCATTGTTCTTGCCATTTTCTGAAGCAGTTCTGGAAGTCCTCTTTCGTGAGTGTCTTTAGTTGTGCTGTCGTGGCTGCCTCAATGTCCTGAATCATTTTGACTTTGAGGAAGAGCCAGAAGCCGCACAGTGCCAGATCCGGTGAACAAGGTGGATGAGGACACACCATCATGTTTTTATTTGACAGAAATTGCTGTACCAGCAGCAATGTGTGACATGGAGCGTTGTCATTATGGAGGATGATTTAGGGCACACTTTAAAACCCACATTCTGTCAACCGTAGCTCACATCCGAGTGACTGCACCAAATAAGTTGAAACTTGTCACACACTGCTACTGAAGTTATACACACTACTTCCCGTATGGAAGGTCCCTGCTTTTCCATTGGATGGCACGCGGCAGCAGCATTCACCGTATTTTGTGATCACAACGGAAAGGCTCCATGTCACACATTGCTTCTGGTATATGGCAATTTCTGTCCAATAAAAACATGATGGTGTGTCCTCATCCACCTTATTCACTGGATCTGGCACCGTGTGCCTTCTGGCTCTTCCCCAAAGTCAAAATGACTGTGAAAGGTAAACGTTTTGAATTGATTCAGGACATGGAGGCAGCCACAACAGTGCAACTAAAGACACTCACGAAAGAGGACTTCCAGAAATGCTTCAGAAAGTGGCAAAAACGATTGGATAAATGTGTTCGAAGTGAGAGGGAGTATTTTGAGAGGGACTAATTAATGGCAATGTGTCTTTTACTGTAATTTTTAAAAATTTAAACATTCACTGTACATTTGGATCACAGTTCGTAGATACATTAGTTTTTCTATAAGTAAATCAGGCACAGTTACTAACACACATTCTTTTCTGCTCTATTTAAAAAACAGTCAGGGGCCGGCCGAGTGGCTCAGTTGGTTAAGAGTTTGCTTAAGGGCACGAGCTCTGAGCATTTGCTGGTTTGATTCCCACATGGGCCAGTGAGCTTCACCCAAGCTGAGCTGCTGCTGAGCTGCCAACAGGTGGCAGGATGGCTCAGCTGGTGAGAGCACGTGCTCCTAATGACAAGATTGCCTGTTTCATGGTGGGCTATACCCACCCACGGCTGTGACTGAACTTGGCACCTTGAGCTGAGCTGCCGCCCAGATGGCTCAGTGGATAGAGCATGCCCTTTTAACAGCAAGGTTGTCAGTTAGACTCCTGCATGAAAAAATAAATAAAATAAAATAAAATTATAGTCATTCTTAAGGTATATTGAGCTTGTGTTTTTTTAAAACCCTTACCATTTTAATTTTCCCATTATTACAAAAGCTGAATGAAATTTCGGTAAGGTTGTATTCAGTTCAACCAGCATCTATTGAATATGTGCCAAGCACTGTGCCAGGTGCTAAGACTAGGAAGATGACAAAGCCTAGTAACTTCTTTCAACTTACTTATATTTGGTGGAGTGAGAGGGAAAGATAGACATGTAAGTATAAATATGAAGATAGTGCGATAAGTGCCATTATGTTATACAAATAAAAGGGACTCCAAATAAATATGTTAATAATGAATAAATGCCATGATGATTAATCAGTAATTGAAATGTCTTATGTGTATAATAAGATGTGTCATGACTTGCCTCGGGTGTCTATTTTTCATTTAAAATCTATGCTACATTTCTAAACACGCTGAGAAAAATCTTAAGTTATCCATATTTTTGTTGTTGTTGTTCTTTAAGAACAGAAAATGACACCTGTGTATGAGTTCCTTTTTTTAGTGAGAATACTCTCAGGATGCATAAAAATCTGGATTTCTGTATCAACTTCTTTTTCATTCAGGTTAATGGAAATTTGATCAGCCTGTTGTCTAGGTTGCAAAATTATTAGCCTTGACTGATAAAATGAAATCATATCATTCTTGTGTAAATGGATTTTGCTTCTGTGAGAATGATACAGCAGGTGCCCAAAGATCTCCACTTATGGTATACTGACTTCAGAAAAGCTCAGCTGCATTAGAATTTTCAGTAATACTAGATTATGTTTATCACCCTTTATTTTTTTCCTTTTAAAAATAGCTTTGAAATACATTTGCCTTGAATTTACATTTACAGATGGATTTATTGTTTTGTCATTAGCAGCGTCTATAGTTTATTGCACATAGAATATTTTTAGTCATTGGGCAGGTATCCAGGCCTGTTTCAATATTAATTATCATTTTCTTTGCAGTGGTGGCTCTATGTATAATTTATATACTGATGAGGATGAAGAAGCTGAGCCTTCTCCTTCTGGGCAACAGATAATTGAAAATTCAATAACTATGAATAAGATGAAGCTGCTGAAGGTTAAGATGGAGAACATGAATCTCAGCAAAAAGGTGAAGCTGCTGGCCCTTGTCCAGGCTGCCGTCCAGTTTTTCTGCACAGGGCTTGTGGTCTGGGGTCTGCTGATAATTGTGAAAAAGTATTTATAAAACATCATGCATCTTGGGTTTCTGTCCTCAGTTATTTATTGAGGCATTAAAAGTGACAGATTGGTTTTTAGGCCAGCAACACATCTAATGTGATTATACTCCACTTAAAATAATTAATGATTTTTAAAAATTTCATAGTTCTACAGCTAAGAATAATAGAAGGTAGCCTAATCTTTATCTTGCAGTTACTTTTTAAATGCTCTGTTCATATGTACTTCCTATGGACATCTTCTCTGCCTGAGCATTGGTAAGAAGTATGCCTGTGATCAGCTTTACTACATATTGTCAGTTTCTAAATGAGAGTTGCAGTTTTCATGTGTTCTTTCCAGTATTTGGTACAGTCCTTTCTTTTTATTTTTGTCATTCTGGCTGATGTGTAAAGCCATCATGTGGTGGTTTTAATTTGCATTTCTCTGACCAATGAAGTCGAACAACCTTCGTGTGTTTATTGGATATTTGGAGATCCCGTTTTTAAAAGTGCCTTTCAAATCTTACCCATTTTTCTATTAGGTAGTATGTTTTTTGCTTATTGATTTTTTTTTAGATCTATATATATTCTGGATATAAGTCCTTTGTCGTGTGTGTGTGTGTATCACCATTCTGTTTGCTTTTCACTCTATTAATAGCTCATCCCCTTTTCTTTATTAAAATATAATGCATACATTTAATAAAAGTCACAAGTTTTTAATCTACAGCTTGGTGAATTTTTACATTTATGTACATTCATGCAGGTAGAACCCAAATTAAAATGGACTTGTCTTTCTCTCCAGTTTTCCTTATAACCTTTTAAAATCAATACCTACTTTTCCCAATCCCAGAAATAACTACTGTTTTTATATTTGCCACCATAAATTAGTTTTGCCTCTTACTGAAATTTGTATAAATGAAATATAGAATGTTCTCTCTTTTTTTTCCGTCTGGTTTCTTTTGCCCAATGCCATACTTTCGTGATTCATTGTGTTGTTGCATGTATCAGTTTGTTGTTGTTGTGTTTTTTTACTGCTGTGTACTATTCCATTGTACAACTATACTTCAATTTGTGTCTCTCTTCTCCTTTAGACAGACATTTGGGTTGTTTCTATTCTTATACATTTATTTGGTGGACATATGTACTCTTTTTTGGGGGCATATACCTAGCAATGGTCTTGTAGAGATCGAGTTGGTATATATGTATCTTTAGTTGTTACGCCAAACAGTTTTGCAATGTGTCTGAACCAATTTGCGCTCATGTCAGCAGAATTAGAGTTCCAGTTTGTGCCACATCCTCACCAACACTTGATATTGTCAGTCTTTTTCATTTTAACTATTCTGGTGGGTGTGTCGTGGTTTTCATTTACCTTTCTCTAATGAGGAATAATATTAAGTTTTTCATATGCTTATGATGCTGACTTTTGTACCAATAGTCTTTATATTGTGTAAACCACCATCATCTGTTAAAATACATCAGTTTTAAAAAAATTTCTTGTCAAGTGCCTGTTCAGGTGTTTTGCTCATTAGGCATTTTTATATTATGGATACAAGTTCTTTGTCAGACATATGATTTACAGATATCCTAACACTCCACAGCTTGCTCTTTTACTTTCTTATTCTTTTAATAAATATTCTTTATTTTAATGTATTGTAACATCAGTTTTCCTCTTGTGATTATCAATTATTATAACCTTTTAATGAAGTCTTTACCTATCACAGGGTCTTGAAGACATGCCCCTGTGTGTTTCTCCAAAAGCTCTTATGATTGTTCCTTTCTCACTTCAATTTACGATCCATCTGAAAGAAAACCTTTTTTTAATATAATGTGAAGTAGGGTGAAAATCATTTTTTCCAGATGGACAACAGTTGACCTAGCTCTATTAAAAAAAAAAACACCTTTCCACACAATTCTAAATGTTTATGCACCTAATAATGGGACTTCAAAATACATGAAGCAAAAGCCACAAAGAAAAATAGACAATTTCATAATTATATTAGAAGATGTCCATACTCCCATTCTCAAAAATGGAAAGAAAAAGGTAAGCAGAAAACCAGAAAGGATGTAAAAAGACTTGGACAATACTATTAACCTCCTTGGCTCAGTTGATATTTATAGAATGTTCCACCCAACGACAGCAGAATACACATTTTTAAAAAGTGCACTCAGAACAATTTACTAAGATAAACCATACTGTATACTATCAAACAAGTCCCAATAAATTTTAAAGATTCAAATCATACAAAAAATGCTCTCTTATTACAGTGAAATAAAATTAGTAGTCAATAACAGAAAGATATCTAGAAAATCTAATACTTTGGAAATAATAGACTTCTAAGTAACAGACAGGTCAAAGAAACCCAAAGGGAAATTAAAAAGTATTTTGCATTGAATAAAAGTATTCTAATAATGTGGTGAATTTATTTTTTTTAATATGAAATCATTCTTACATTCTTAGAGTGAACCACTATTGGTTGTGATGAATTTTCCTTTTTATGTCTTTAGATTTAATTTGCTAATATTTTACTTAGGATATTTGTTCATCAGAAAAATTGGTCTTTTTCCTTTCTTATCCAACATACAGCAAAGATGAAAGGATTTTAGAGTGAACTACCATTTAGCTACCACCTAAATCCTACAATTAACATTTAAACAATTTTTATTTTTAATTGTGATAAAATACACATAACATAAAACTTACCATCTTAGTCATTTTTAAGTGTATATACAGTTTAGTCATATTAAGTACGTTGACACTGTTGCACACCAATCTCTAGAACTTGTTCATCTTGCAAACTAAAACTCTATTCTCATTAAATGACTCCCTATTTCCCAACTCTCTGCAGCCCCTGGCAATTCTACTCTCTGTTTCTAGGAATTTTACTATCTAGATACATCATATAAGTGTAATCATATGGTGCTTGGTTTTTGGTGACTGACTTATTTTACTCAGCAGTTCTGTCATGGATCATCCATCTTGTAGCATGTCATAATTTCTATACTTTTTAAGGTTGAGTATTCCATTGTATATGTGTGTGTATATATAGAGGCATATATACAACATTTTACTTATCCATGCATGTGTTGATGGAGACGTGTGTTGATTCCACCTTTTGGCCATTGTGAATAACGCTGCTGTGAATATCAATGTATAATCCTCTTTGAGCCCCTGTTTTCACTTCTTTTGGATATATACCCAGAATTTCAGGGTCATATGGTAATTCTATGTTTAATTTTTTGAGGAACTGCCATACTGTTTTCCATAGCAGTTGCACCATCTTGCAATCCCACCAGTGGTGCACAAGGGTTTTTAATTTCTCTGCATCCTCACCAACACTTGTTGCTGTTGTTTTAAATAATAGCCATCCTGATGGGTCTGAGGTGATAGCTCATTGTACTTTTGATTTGCATTTTTCTAATGATTAGTAATGTTGAGCATATTTGTGCTGGTTTGCCATTTGTATATTTTCTTTGGAGAGATGTCTGTTCAAGTCTTTTGCCCATTTTTGAATCAGGTTATATGTTTTTATTATTGAGGTTTAAGAGTTCTTTATATATTCTGGATATTAACCTCTTATGAGATATATGATTTGCAAATATTTTCTCCTATTCTGTAGGTTGCCTTTTCACTCTGATGGTAGTGCCTTTTGATGCACAGAAGTTTTAAATTTTGATATAGCCTAATTTACTTTTACTTTTGTTGCCTGTGCTTTTGGTGTCATATCCAAGAAAGTATTGCCAAATCCAGTGTCATGTAGCTTTTTCTCCTATGTTTTCTTCTGAGAGTTTTAGAATTTGAGGTCATACATTTAGGTCTGATACATTTTGAGTTAATTTTTGTTTTTGCTGTAAGTAAAAGCCCAACTTCATTCTTTTGTATGATGATATCCAATTTTCCCTACTCCTTTTGTTAGAAAAACTATCCTTTTCCCATTGAGTGGTCTTGGCACCTTGTTGAAAGGCATTTGACCATATATGTGAGGGTTTATTTCTGGGCTTTCTATTAAATTCCATTCGTTGATATGTCCGTCTTTATGCAATTACCACACTGTGTTGATTACTGTAGCTTTGTAGTAAGTTTTGAAATCAGAAAGTGTGAGACCCACAACTTTTTTTTTCAAGATTGTTTTGACTATGTGGGGTCCCTTGAGATTCCATATGAATTTTAGGATGGAAATGGCAAAAAATGCCATTGAGATTTCAGTAGGGATTAAATTAAATCTGTACATCACTTTGACTCACAGCTGATTTAGCAGTGGGCTCCTTAGCTTCCAAACATGTGAATATTTTATACCTTTTTGTTATTATTTGTACTTTAATTTCACTGTGGTGAGAGAACATACTCTAAATGATTTCAAGCCTTTGAAATTAGTTGAAATTTGTGTCTATGCATATTGGTGAATGCCAGTTGTGCACCTGCAAAGACTGCATAGTCTATCACTACATGTAATGTACTATATATATCAATTAGATCAAGTTTGTTAATTGTGTTGTTCAGGTCTTCTGTACCCTTTGTGAAGTTTTTTAGTCTGTTTTCTATCAGTTATTGAGAGAGGTTTATTAAAAATCTCCTTAGTTACATATTTGTGTATTTCTTTTTTAGATGTTTATTTTTGCTTTGCATATTTTGAAACTCTGTCAACTTGATATCATAAAGATTTGTGTGATATCCAGGGAGTGGTATCTTCCTTGTACTTTAACACCTTTACTATTATAAACTGTTTTTCTTTATCTCTAGTAATGCATTTGTCTTAAAATCTACTTTATTATTAGTAGTTATTCTAGCTTGCTTTTGGTTTGTGTTTTTATTGTATATCTTTTTCCATCCTATTACTTTTAATCTCTCTGTAGTCCATATTTAAGGGTTGTCTCTTGTAGTCAGTACATGGTTGGTTTTATTATTTTTTTAGAATTTATTTATTTTTTAAAATTTTTATTAAATTTATTGGGGTGACATTGGTTAGTAAAATTATATAGGTTTCAAGTGTACAGTCCTATAATACATCATTTGTATATATCATTGTGTGTTGAACACCCAGAGTCAGCTCTTTTTTCATCACCATGTATTTCACCCCCTTTATCCTCTTCTACCACCCCCCCTCCCCTCTTACCCTCTGGGGTAAGTCTATGTCTATGATTTTTGTGTGTGTCTATTTGCCTTGTTCGTTGTACCTTTCAGTTTTATGTCACACATATAAGTGAAGTAATATGGTTCTCGACTTTTTTTGTCTGACTTATTTCACTTAGCATGATAATCTCAAGATCCATCCATGTTGTCACAAATGGCAGTATTTCATCTTTTCTTATAGCCGAGGAATATTCCATTGTATATATATACCACATCTTCTTTATCCAGTCATCTATCGAAGGATACTTTGGTTGTTTCCATGTCTTAGGTACTGTGAATAATGCTGCAATGAACATAGGCTTACATATATTTTTAAGGATAAATGTTTTCAGATTTTTAGAGGGTAAATACCCTGAAGAGTGATTGCTGGGTCATGTGGTGATTCTATTCTTAATTTTTTGAGGAACTTCCAGACTGTTTTCCATAGCAGCTGTACCAACTTAACATTTCCAGCAACAGTGCATGAGGGTTCCTTTTTCTCCACAGCCTCTCCAACACTTGATATTACTTGTCTTGTTGATAGTAGCTATCCTAATAGGTGTGAGGTGGTATCTCATTGTGGTTTTGATTTGTATTTCCCTAATAGGTAATGAAGCTGAACAGTTTTTCATATATCTGTTGGCCGTTTCTTTGTCTCCTTGGGAAAAAGATCTGTTCAGGTCCTCTGCCCATTTTTTAATTTGATTATTTGTTTTTTTGTTGTTGTTGAGTTGTGTGAGTTCTTAAGATATTTTGGCTGTTAGTCCCTTATCAGAGGAGTTGTTTGCAAATATCTTCTCCAATTCGGTTGATTACCTGTTTGTTTTGTTGATAGTTTATTTTGCATGCAGAAGCTTTTTAGTTGATATAGTCCTATTCATTTATTTTTTATTTTACTTCCCTTGCCTTTGAGGTCAAATTTATAAAATTATTTCTGAACCTGAGGTCCATAAGTTTAGTACTTATGCTTTCTTCTTTGCAGTTTATTGTTTCAGGTCTTATGTTTAGGTCTTTGATCCATTTTGAGTTAATGTTGGTAAATGGTGACAGATAGCAGTCTAGTTTCATTCTTTTGCATGTGGCTTTCCAATTTTTCCAGCACCATTTATTGAAGGGGCTTTCTTTTATCCATTGTATGTTTTTGGCTCCTTTGTTGGAAATTATCTACCCATATATACATGGGTTTATTTCTGGGTTATCAGTTCTATTTCATTGGTCTATGTCTGTCGTTCTGACAATACCATGCTGTTTTGACTATTGTAGCTTTGTAGTATAAATTGAAGTCAGGGAGTGTGGTACTTTGTTCTTTTTTTGTCAGGATTGCTATGGCTATTGGGGGTCTTTTGTGATTCCATACCAATTTGATGATTTTTTCTTCTATTTCTTTTTAAAATGCCATTGGGATTTTGATGGGGACTGCATTACATCTGTATATTGTTTTGGGTAATATGGCCATTTTAACGATGTTAATTCTTCCAATCCATGAACATGGAATATCTTTCCATTTCTTTGTATCTTCTTCAGTTTCTTTTAATAATTTGTTAGAGTTCTCAGTGTATAGGTCCTTCACATCATTTGTTAGGTTTATTCCTAGATATTTAATTCTTTTTGTTGCAGTTGCAAAAGGATTTGTTTTTTTCATTTCCTTTTCTGAAATTTTATTGTTAGTATATTGGGAATGCAATAGATTTTTGTACATTGAATTTATATCCTATAACTTTACTGTATTTGTTTATTGTTTCTAATAGTTTTTTGGTAGAGCCTTTGGGGTTTTCTATATAAAACATTATGTCATCTGCAAAAAGTAACAGTTTAACGTCGTCATTCCCAATTTGGATGCCTTTTATTCCTTTTTCTTGCCTGATTGCTCTGTCTAGGACAATACTATGTTGAATAACAGTGGTGACACAGGGCATGCCTATCTTGTTCCTGATCTTAGAGGGCAAGGTTTCAGTTTTTCAACAGTAAGTATGACATTAGCTTAAAGTTTGTCATATATGGCCTTTATTATGAGGTCTGACAATTAAGTTCATGAAATCATCCTAGAAAAAGTGCTAATAACTTATTGCTGAATATCACTACAGTCACCTTCGACGTTCTCCCCCTGGGAAGTTATGCACTGAAGCCAGCACCTAGTTCACCCTTCAAAACAATTTTGGAACTCTTTTTCTGGAATGGCCATCAGAGCTGTTGTCGTATTACCCTTAATGTCATCAAAATGTGTTCCTTTCTATATTTCCTTTATCTTTGGGTAAAGAAAGAAATCATTGGGGACCAGATCAGGTGAGTAGGGAGGGTGTTCCAATACAGTTATTTGTTTACTGGCTACAAATTCCCTCACAGATAGTGCCGTATGAGCTGGTACAGTGTCATGATGCAAGAGCCATGAATTGTTGGCAAAAAGTTTGGGCCATCTAACTTTTTTATGTTTTATAATGAATAATCCTTCTGATATCAAAAAAGGTTAGCAATATCGTTGCAACAAGTTCGCGAACTTAATTGTCAGACCTCGTGTGTTGAAGCACTTTCTTCCTGTACACATTTTATTAATGTTTAATCATAAATGGATGCTGTACCTTGCCAAATGCTCTTTCTGCATCTATGGATATGATCATATGATTTTTATCCTTTATTTTGTTTATGTGGTGTATCACATTGATCAATTTTTGTATGTCAAGCCATCCTTGCACGCCTAGAATGAACCACACTTGATTGTGATGTATAACCCTTTTAATGTATTTTTCTATTCAGTTTGCTAGTATTTTGTTTATGACTTTTTTTGTCTCTATTCATCAGAGATATTAGTCTGCAGGGTTTCTTTGTGTGTGTGTGTGTGTGTGTGTTATCCTTACCAGGTTTTGGTATCAGCGTAATGTTGGCCTTATAAAATGAGTTAGGAAGTATTGCCTCTTCTTGAATTTTTTGGAATTAATGGCTTGAGGAGGACAGGTATTAGATCATCTTTGAATGTTTGGTAATATTCAGTAATGAAGCCATCTGTCTGGTCCTGGGCTTTTGCTTTTTGGGATGTTTTTGATGATTGTTTCAATTTCCTTTCTGTTGGTCGATATATTTAGATTTTTCAGTTGTTTATGATTCAGTCTAGGAGGGTTATATATTTTATTCAGTTTCTGTCTTCCAGTTATTGTTAGTTATGCATTTTTATACTGTTTTTTGAAGTGGTTATTTAGACATTTTAATATGCATCTTTGACTCCTTATAGTCTAATAAAAATGATTTTTACTACTCTCCTGTTAGTGGCAGTATCTTAGAACACTAACTCCATTTATACATCCAAACATTTTTTTGTATTATTGTTGTTCTACATTTTAATTGTACATACAGATGGTGCCAAAAATGTACATACACATTTTAAGAAAGGAAAAAATGTACTAAAATTGTAATATCAATATATACTAATAACAAAAGATAAATACAAGTCATGTGTATACATTGTTTTGGCACTCCCGGTATATTTGAACTCCTAAAATTGTTTTGTATTGCCTATAATATTATTTATATACCAGTATTATTTATACACATAATAATTATACGTAACACCCCTATTCACTTTACCTAGATTCAGCAGTTAACATTTTTCCACATTGGCTTTCTGTGTATATTTCTTTACCTTATCCATTTGGGAGTTAGTTGCAGATATCATAACATTTTGCCCTAAATGCTTCATTTAGCATATATATCTCCTAAGAGCAAGGGCCTTCTCTTATATAAATAACCACAATATAGTTAGTATATACACAATTTATTACTGCTATACATTATGTCATCTGTATTCATATTTTTCCATGTCTCAATAATGTACTTGATAGCATTTTGTTTTGTTTTGATTTTTGTTCTGTTTTCAATCTGGGATGCAGTCAAGCATAATGCATTGAATTTAGTTGTAATGTTTCCTTGGTCTTCTGTTTTACGGAACTATTTCTTAGCCTTTTTGGAACATTCACGTCAGATTTTATGAAGAGTGTAAGCCAGTTGTTTTGTAGAATGTCACGTCCTGCATGGCAAGGGCAGTGGGAAGCGAGAGGGGCAATGCAGAGTTAAAGAGCCCAAGAGACAAAGATAAGGCTAAAGCAGGACCAGGGGGCACCAGCCTTGTGGACTGAGCCCCGAATTGGGTCTTCGCATGGCTTTTATTGAGAAAATTTCAAAGGAAGTGAAACTGCATTACTCAAAGACCCGTGTGTCATGTGCCTTAAGGCTGTTTTCCATTAACCAGTTCCCATTGTATTCCAACATGTACTATGTCTTCATACAGCCTGCACAACCCCCAGGACAGTGCCATTGTGCCGCGTTCTATACAATTAAGGGAGATGACTGATATCATTCCACCGGGTCTCAGCATTCCAAGATACTTCCTCAGGACCTTGTTAGGTCAGGGGTTAGTGCGGAGTGGGGGTGGGGGGGCGATCGTGGACATAGCTATAAGGCAACAGTAGAATATCCTCAATTTGAATTTGTCTGATTGTTACATCATGATTAGTTGCAGGTTAAATGTTTTGGGAGGAACATTGCATAGATCATGTATTATTCTCAGTGCAACTTATCAGGAGGTATTTAATTTCAATTTGTAGTATTTTCATTATTTTTAAAGAAAATTTGCAGTTTTAGTTTATGAGGTCTGATAAAAAATATGATGAATGTTTAAATTAAAAACAATTTATTACAGTAAAAGATACATTGCCATTAATCCCCCTCAGAATACTCTCCCTCGCTTCAAACACATTTATCTCATCAGTCTTGTGACTTTCTGAAGCAGTTCTGGGAGTCCTCTTTTCTGAGTGTCTTTAGTTGCGCTGTCATGGCTGCCTTAATGTCCTGAATCATTTTCACTTTGGGTAAGAGCCAGAAGTCACACGGTGCCAGATCCAGTGAATAAGGTGGATGAGGACACACCATCATGTTTTTATTTGACAGAAATTGCTGTACCAGCAGCAGTGTGTGACACAGAGCCTTGTCATGATGAAGGATGATTTATGGCACACTTTAAAACACACCTTCCCTGAACTGTAGCTCACACCCGACTGACTGCACCAAACAAGTTGAAACTTGTCACACACTGTTATTAAGGTTCAACGCATCATTTCCCATATTGAAGATCTCTGCCTTTCTGTTGGATGGCACTGGGCAGCAGCATTCACCATATGTTTTGATCACAATGGAAAGGCTCCACAATGGAAACACATCACTTCTGGTATACAGTAATTTCTGTCAAATAAAAACATGATGGTGTGTCCTCATCCACCTTATTCCCTGGATCTGGCACCGTGTGACTTCTGGCTCTTCCCTGAAGTCAAAATGACCATGAAAAGAAAACGTTTTGAATAGATTCAGGACATTGAGGCAGCCACACAACAGCTCAACTAAAGACACTCATGAGAGAGTACTCCCAGAACTGCTTCAGAAAGTGGCAAGAATGATGGGATAAATGTGTTCGAAGAGAGGGGGAGTAGTTTAAGGGGGATTAATGGCAATGTGTCTTCTTTTACTGTAATAATTTTTTTTATTTAGACATTCGTCGTATTTTTTTATCACACCTCTTATAGTTCCCCTTTTATCCAAGAGTTATTTAATGGAATTTGAAAAATGTCTGGTGAGAAAGGCTTTTTGATTTTTCTTTTTTTTTTTTAAGATTTTTATTGGGGAATTGAGGGGATGGGAACAGCCCTGGGGAATTGGGGGAAGGGGAACAGACAAGTTGCTATCCTTTTGTTCTTCAGTCTAGTTGTGGAGGACGTTGCTTCACTGGCCCAAGTTGGCACCATCATTGTGCTCTTCCCGGGTGAGGCAGATCAGTTGCCGGCTTCTGGATGGCCGCTCACTGCGGCTGCCGGCTGCTCACGCTGGCTGCTGGCCGCTCACGCTGGCTGCTTGTTACCTACGGTAGCCCATGGCAACCCACTGACACAGGAGCTGCAGCCTACGCCGTAGCGGGGACTCACGGCAGCCCAGCTCCAGGTTGAGCTGTTGTTCAGCATCTTACTGTGGAGGGGAGTGTCACTGGCCTTCATATGTGGGATCCGAACTGGGGCCCTCTGACATCCCAAGCCAGTTCTTAACTGTCGTGCCACTCGGCCGGCCCTTTCATTACTTTTATTTTCTAGTTTTATTGCATGGAAATCAAGAGAAGGTTGTTTATATTTCTACTTAATAGAATTTGATTATTTGTGATCTAATATCACTCTTCATTAATATTCCATTAACATTTTAGAAGATGGTTCATTTTCTATAATCAGAGTAAAAAAATTTGATAGGTGTCTGTAAATTGACCTTATTGATAAGTTGTTTAGATCCTCTCTTTCCTTATTTTGTCAGCTTATTCTCTCTTGAAATAAGAACAGTAATATGTGAAAATCTATTAGTTGGTTTCTGTGTAGTTCTCTTTTCATCTCCCATAGTTTTTGCTTTAAGAAGGTAGTTGTTGTGTGATTTGGTGCATAAATATTAATAAGTGTATATTTTCATTATACTGATAATTCTAGATGTTATAAAGTATTTCATCTCTGTTTGACTTTCAGCTTGAATTTTCTTTGCCTGATATCAGGTCCATAACCTTTGTTGTCTTATTGTTTTCATTTGCTTTGTATACCTTTTTCCATGTCTTCTTAAATTTACTTTGTTTTAGGTGTACTTTTACATACAGTATAGAGCTGAGTTGTGCTTTGTGAATCAATTTGAAATTTTAAAAAATAGGTAACAATCACATTTACATTTATTGGTATGACTTTTATATTTGGTCTCAAATGTCTTATAATTTTGTTATATTTACAGTTTCTTCATGGCCTGTATGTGTATGGATATGTAGGTGTGTGATTGTGTACTTTTTGATCTTTCAAAAAGCTTTTGCTTTTTTACTATTTTTAACTTTATATTAGTATCTTTTCATGTTCTTGATCTACTTTTTCCTTATTTAACCTACTTTTATATTCCATCTTTGAAAGATATCTTTTGAGCCCTACTTATTAACAAAGTTATAATTAATGAGCTTATTTTAATTTGTTTCCTCTTTTTTCTTCCATTTTAAAAATTTGCATTATTTCTACTTTTGTAAAAAATATAACATTTGTATATCCTTTTTTTACTGCTGTCCCACTCTTACTTTAGTTTTACCTCTTTAATTAAATATATACCATGTTTACTATCAATGTTTTTATTCAATTTTACCCATACTTTTTTGGTTAGAAGAAGCTCATTTGTAAGCAAATTACTCAGGAAAGGCTTATAAGTACAGTCATTCCTCAGTTATTGGATATTTAAAACTTTTCTTTTGCTTGGACACTTAAAGGACAATTTGGCTGGATATAAAATGTTTGGTTCGCAATTTTTCCCTTGAGTTTCTTTAAAATGTGACTCTGTTGTCTTGCTTTTTGTATTGCCATTGAGAGATCTAGTTGCCAATCTGACTTTCTAGTCTTTGTAAATTGAGGATTTTTCTTTCCTTTTAAGTCTAATGTTTTTACCACAATATATCTTGAAATTAACCATTCCGAATCTATTTTCACTATACACTGAGCCTTACAACTTGAATATTCAAGTTGTCTTTTATTTTGGGAGGCTTATAGTTTTTTAAATGTTTTCATTGTTTCTTTGTTTTCTTTTTTAGAGACTTCCTTTATACATATGTTGGATCTTCTTTTTCTTCTGTACTAGCACTCTCTATCTTATCCTTTTTGATTATTTCATTTTCATTCTCTTGACTGTTTTTCATACCTTCTTCAGTACTTTTTATTAAATGTGCAGTAGAATCTAATCACCTGTGAGCACCTTGTAATTTAGTCTTCATTTCTGAGATGATTTAGTGCTCTTCAGATTACTTTCTGGGTTTTATCAGCTCTCATTTCATATCTTCCTTTTTTCTTTTGTCCATTGTGTCTTGAATTTATAGATTTCTGATGTGATATGGCTTTTTAAAAAGTATCTGAAAATACTAACTTAAGGATGTTAATTCAGTTTGGAGTGTTGTGATGCAGTTTTCTTTTGCTTCATTGTTTTTGGGGATGGAATTTTCATCAGCTGAAATGTCCTGATTCTCATTTTCAGTTTTATTTTATAGTAGCTTGGTATGGATTTGGTCTACCTATTTCTGTTTATGTTCCAATTTTTGTGTAATTTTTATTTACTCAAATAAATAATAATAGTTATGTGTAAATAAAAGTGAGGATTTTGTGTGACAAAGTAAATTACTTATTTCAAGAGCACCCTCTTTTGGTTTAGTGTAATGTAGTGGGTTTTTTTGTTTGTTTTTTTTTAAAGATTTTTATTGGGGAATTGGGGGATGGGAACAGACAAGTTGCTGTCGTTTTTGTTCTTCAGTCTAGTTGTGGAGAACGTTGCTTCACTGGCCCAAGTTGGCACCATCATTGCGCTCTTCCTGGGCGAGAAAGATCAGTCACCAGCTTCTGGACGGCCGCTCATGGCAGCAGCTGGCCGCTCATACTGGCTGCTGGCTACACACGGTAATGGCAACCCACTGCAGCAGGGGTTGCAGCCTAGCCATCGCCAGCGACTCATGGCAGCCCAGCTCCAAGTTGAGCTGTTGTTCAGCATCTTAGCTGTAGAGGGCAGTGTCACTGACCCTCATATGTGGGATCTGAACTGGGACCCTCTGGTGTCCCAAGCCAGCTCTTAACCAATGCTCCACTCGGCTGGCCCAAGTTTTGTTTTTTAATCAATGGCACTCTTATTGGAGGGTGGGGTTGCTGTGTTTTCTGATTTTGTGGTTCTTTTGTGTCTATAGGATTCTTACTTTTGCTTTCTTGCTACCTTCTTTACCTTTACTATTAAGTTCTCAGTGGGAGCCTTTTCCTTCCAACTTATCCCTTTTTCCCCAGAAATGGTGTCTTTTTGAAGCTATCTCCTCAGGTCCTGAACAGTTTTAAGCCACTTTCTTTTAGTTTCCTAGTAGCCTGTGTTTTAATATCCTACATCTTAAACCTGCTTTCAGTATTTTAATAATGGGATTTTCTCGTTTTGGGTTTATATTTGTTCCATCAACCCTAGGTTATCTATACCTCTTTTTTTCTCTTCCCTTCCTTTCCTTATTTCTCTTCCTCCTCTTCCTTTCTCCCTCTCTTCCTTCTTTCTTTCCTTCCTGTCTTGTTCCACACTCTAATTTGCCTCTCATCACAGGCATAGGCTTTGCTGATGAGTATCCTGGATTTGAGTGTTTTCCTACTTACAGGTAATTTGAAGTTAATTTTATTTGTTTCCTAGCTTTCATGAAAGCATGATTTTATTTGTTTATGTTGTTAATCTGTGTGGTTTTTTGGAGCATGCGTGGAGAAATTCAGATTTAGGCAACCACCATTAATCATTATAGTCCAGAAGCCATCGCCTTTAATTTTGTAGAATATTTTTGCTGAGTGTAGAATTGCAGATTGGCAAGACAATGGCCCTAGGATAAAAGCAGATACAGGAGCCAGCATATCTTTCCAACATTCTTCCTTTTTTATTTTTATTTTTAGCTTCTCTACTTTTTGCCTCAAGTGATATTCACTGAATTACCTAGCTTTTCTTGTATTTCTAGGTTGGGAGTGTTGATATGTCATTAGGTATTACATCCCACCCAGATGCTCATATCAACCTTAATGATAAGAGCCAAGGCTTCATAACTTTAACTTTCAACTTTACCCATAACATTATGAATTTTTGTGATACTTTTATTAAAAATCTAAAACTTGCTGTATCAGGGACCTGTAGACCACTTCCAGGTTTGATGGTTTGCCAGGAAGACTCACAAGACTAGCATATAGTTGTATTCATGGCTAATATTTATTACAGAAAAAAGGTAGAAAACAAAATCAGCAAAGAGAAAAGGCTCATGGGGTGAAGCACAAATTTCCCAGAATATTTTCCTGATGAAGTCTCACAGGATGTGCTTAACTGCTCTATTGATGAGTGGTGTCAGCACATGTAGAATGTTGTCTACCAGGGAAGTTCATTTCAGACTCTGTGCCCAGAGGTTTTATTCGAGGCTGCTCCCTTTGCCTAGCATGCACCAAAATTCCAGGCTCCCAGAAGGAAAGATGGTGTTAGTATAAACCACATTGTTTGCACAAATAGATTAGGCACAGTGAGCCACTCTTGACAGTCAGGGTGGTGAGAACCCTCTTGAAATACAAGTTCTCAGAAGCCAGCCAAAGAACCAACATTGCAAGCAGGCATTTTCAAGGACTGCAGTTTAGTCCTGTTAATTCCTTTCTGTAACACTTACCTAGCCAACCACTTACTCATCTTACTAGGAAAAGTGTGGGATCTCAAATGGCCACCAATGTCATACCTAATATAAACAGTGACTTTTCTTCTCAGCAAAACTCTGACAATGACTCAGAAGTGAGGAAAGTAAATAAAATTATTTTTCTTTAACATTCTCAGAAAATTATACTTAATGAAGATAATAAATTTCTTTTCAATCATAAGCTTAAGGTTTTAATCTTTTTAAACACTTTAAATTGAAGTAATCAAAATGCCAATATGTTACAATAAATCACATTTTCTTCTTTCATTAATTTTTGTTAATGGGCAGAGAAAATGACTGTGTAAAGGAATGATATGTTTACTCTTTTCTTTTAGCCCAAGCAAGCTGTCAAGGTAAAACCTCACCCACCTATAGCTCCTCGACTTTCTGGTGGTTCCACAGCAGCTGCTCGGCACAGATTGTTAAGAGTTCTCCCCCACATTGGGCAGTCTTCTTTCCCTTCTTCTGGAAATACATATCTACCTGAAGCATCCAGCAATGCAGTTTCAAGTCTGGCACCTCTGCCCCCTGCTGATAGAACAATATCATTTATCCCTAGTAAATTTCTTACGGAAGATGGTAACTGGGAGAATAACACACTGTCTCATTCTAATGGTAGCATCAAACTACCACCTCAGATAACCCATGTGGCGTTTGAAAATGACAAAGCGTTTGTCGACTCTGTTCTCCATCTTGAATCACCCCTGCCTAGGCGGACAAAACACTTTTCAGGAAATTTGTCATCTAATAATGAGGATGACACTGTTTTATTTCCAACTTCTGAAGAGCGTGTAACTGAAAAGCCACTTCTACCTGAAGTGGGTTTGTTTGCTTCGTTTACAGAAGGAAATACTGATGAACAGAGCAGAGGCTTAGAAGATACATCAAAGGTAAATCCAGAGCTCTTACTCACTAATGGTGATAAAGGGTTGAAAGCTACAGAACAGCATCTTAAACATGTTGCCAGAGTGTTGAGTGGGGAATCAGTAGAGATGACAGTTCTCGACCACCATGAATTAAGTCCTCAAAAGAATAGACTCTTGTCACCTCTTCACTGTTCTACACCGATGTCGCTTCATAATTCTCTGGTGAAACCACAGAGACAGTCCAAACGTCCTGAGTCTGGGAATCTCCACTCCTCTGCTTCACAAAATGTTCTCCGGCCTTTGGATGTTCGAAATATAACTGATTCTTCTTTCTCTAGGACTACTCGCTTTCGAGCTGTTAAAGTTGATTCACCTGGGAAAAGATCTGACATTATTTCTAAGGTTGAGGCTCGGGATATCACAGAAATGGCAAACAAGGCTTCCAAAGAGCCTGTTGGTTGTGTAAATAATAGAGGTTTTCTTTCTTCGCTGGCCCGGAGCACAAGCAGAGATGGGTTACAGAGCACATGTGGGGTAGGCAAGCTTTGGACCTCTGGAATTGGGCTGTCTACAAACCTCCAGCACTTTCAGGAAGAAAGCTTTAGGAAAAGTTCTCCCCAGTTAGAATCTACTGAATTTTTTCTAGTAAGTATTTGCCTTTTAATATATTCTACTAGTTGTCCTTGTAGTGATTCAACATATTTAAAGTTTATTTTTTTTGGTTACATAAATAAGGAAACCTAAGGTTAACTTCTTTTCATAGTTTCTCTTAAAATGTTTATCTAGTTTGTAGCAAATCTTTTTAACAGTTGAATTTTAAATAATGTTTTAATCCTAAATTGAGAACTGTAATTTGAAAATTATTTCATGTAAACAACTTACCATATATAGTAGTCCCCTCTTATCTGTGGGGGCATACATTCTAAGACCCCCAGGGGATGCCTAAAACCATGATAATACCAAACCTTGTATATACCATACTTTTCTTATACATACATACTTGTGATAAAATTTAATTTATAAATTAGGCACAGTAAGAGATTAACAATATCTAGAAATAAAATAGAACAATTGTAACAATATACTGTAATAAAAGTTATACGAATGTGGTCTCTCTCAAAATACCTTATTGCACTGGACTCATCCTTATTCTTCTTGTGATGATGTGAGATGGTACAATGCCTGCATGATGAGATGAAGTAAGTTGCACAGGCTGGACAAAGGGATGATTCACATCCTGGGAAGGATGGAGCAAGATTCTAGCATGCTGCTCAGAATGGCACGCAATTTAAAATTTATGAATTATTTATTTCTGGAATTTCCCATTTATTATTTTTGAACCTCGGTTGAACTTGGGTAACTGAAACTGTGGAAAGCAAAACTGTGGATAAGAGGGGAAATACTGTATTTTTGATTGCTAAGTATTTTTATTAATGTTTTTCCTAAATAAGAATATTTATGCCATCATATCATACTCTCTTAAAGATAAGTAATAAGTACAGTATTGCTGGATTTAAGAACGAGGTTTCAAGTTTATTTAATTAAAATTAGATTAAATAATTTTAAAAGAAAGCCCAACAGCATTTTTGTAAAACAGTACAAGTATTTTATGTTTGGTGATCTTTTCTTCTGTTCTCCATTAACTCACCTCTATAGATGTTTTGTGTTTTAATTGTAGTCTGCCCATGGTATTGGAATGAATGGAAATAATACAGCAACAGGGAAAAGAGTGGGTAAGCTACAGATAATTTTGAAAACAATATAAGGCTAATAATCATATCATTATGCATACTGTTGAATTTCAAAGAGAAATGAGAAGAACATTCTCTCTGGTATGTACAGAGAAAACTCTCCCTAAACTTTGTTCCACTTAAGAAAATGATTATGAGAATTGACTGTAGGACATATTTGAAGAATAAAACAAAAGTGAAATTTAGGTCTCTGTTGTCTGGGAAGAAATATGGTCTATGTGAAAACACAAGGTGAATGAAGAATTAACATGTAGTTCCCAACCTTCCCAGTCACTGGCCACTCTGGAGCCATGCTGGGCTGCTGGATGGGCTTTGAAGCAGTACCTGAGAAACCTGTTTTTTAACATCGTGATCCAATGTCAAGGATGGTAGTAAGAGTTCCTTTTGATGAACTGGTTATTCTGGATAAAAGAAAAGGATATCTCTGGGCTGGCCGAGTGTCTCAGTTGGTTAAGAGCTCGCTCAAGAGTGTGAGCTCTGAGCAACAGCGGTTCGAGTCCTGGCCCGAGCTGAGCAGCCACTGAGCTGCCAACAGGTGGCAGGATGGCTCAGCTAAAAAAAAAAAAAGAAAGAAAGAAAAGGATATCTCTAGGGCCAGCCCTTTCCAAGGAACAATAGCACACTGACTGTAACACTAGCACCCTGTTCTATCATAACACCTTAAAGCTTCACTGGCCGGCCTGATTTCCAAGGTGGGCACTGCTGTCCTATCTGTATGTTCATGCCCACACTAGGCAGGGAATCTCCTTACAAAGATGATGTACCACCTTTGTAACCCCAAGGTTCTAAAGTATATTTGATAAATTATGGCTGTCATGTAAGTGTTATGTCTTTAAAGAGATACTTAGGCCTTGTTTTCCACTATTATATAAGGCCCACAGTTCTAAAGTCTTAATACATCCTTTTTTGGACAATTTTTTTATTGAGGTAAAATACACATAATGTAAAATGTACTGTTTTAATCCTTTTGAAGTATACAGTTCGGTGGCCTTAAGTATATTCACATTGTTGGACAAATATCACCACCATTCATCTCTGGAACCCCTTATATCTTGAAAAACTGAAACACTGTACCCATTAAACAATAACTTTGCATTTCCCCCTTCCTCCAGCCCACTCAACTTTCTGTCTCTATAATTTTAACTACTCTAAGTACCACATAAGTGGAATCATAGAGTATTTGATCTTTGTGTCCATGTTGCTCTACTTAGCATAAGGTCAAGGTTCTCCCATGTTGTAGCATCTGTCAGAATCTCTATACTTTTGAGGCCAAATAATATGCCATTGTATGTATACACAACATTTTACTTATCCATGCATCTGTGGATGGAGACTTGTGTTGCTTTCACATTTTAGCTACTGTGAATAAAGCTGCTAATGAACATGGGTATAAAAAATCCTTTGAGAACCTGCTTTCACTTCTTTTGAGTATAGGAGGCCTGACAATTAAGTTCACAAACTTGTTGCAACAATGTTGCTAACCTTTTTTTATATCGGAGGGATTATTCATTATGAATTTGTATCAACTGGACAAACAGTTAACCAAGTTTACTATTTGGAAGTGCTGAAAAGGCTGCATGAAAAAGTTAGACAAACTGAACTTTTCGCCAACACCCTCCCTACTCACTTGATCTGTACCCCAATGACTTCTTTCTTTACCCAAAGGAAGACATTTTGATGACATTCAAGACATCAAGGGTAATAGAACAGCTCTGATGGACATTCCAGAAAAAGAGTTCCAAAATTGCTTAGAAGGCTGGAGTAGGCACTGGTATCAGTGCCTAGCTTCCCAAAGGAAGTACTTCAAAGGTGACTGTAGTGGTATTCAGCAATGAGGTATGTAGCACTTTTTCTAGGATGAGTTCATGAACTTAATTGTCAGACTTTGTGGAAGGGAATGTATTCTTGCTATCTGCAGTAGCATGGATGGACCTGGGGGTATTGTGCTGGGTGGAGTGTATCAGACAGAGAAAGAAAGATGCAATGTGATTTCGCTTATATGTGGAAGCTAAAAAACAAAATAAATAAACCAGAAACATATTCATAGACATATCTAATAGAGAATCGTATATGTACTACCTCCTCTTTATCTATTCTTGCATCAAAAGGCACCCAGGCTGCCTCCACATCTTGGCCATTGTAAACAATGCTGCAATGAACATATGGATGCACATGTACCCTCAAAGTAGTGTTTTTGGTTTCTTCAACTAAATACCCAGAAGTGGGGTTACTGGGTTCTTTGTCTCTTGTTATAGCCTTTGTTTTAAAGTCTATTTTGTCTGGTATAAGTATTGCTATCCCAGCTTTTTTGTTTGTTTCTATTTTCATGAAATATCATTTTCCATCCCTTTACTTTCAGTCTGTGTGTGTCTTTTGATCTGAAGTGAGTCTCTTGTAGGCAGCATATGTAAGGATCTTGTTTTCTTATCCATTCAGCCACCCTATCTTTCGATTGGATCATTTAATCCATTTACATTTAAAGTAAATGTTGATAGATATGTAGTGATTGCCATTTTATTATCTGTATTTTATATATATTATTTTTTTTGTCTTATAGAAGTCCCTTTAACATTTCTTGTAATACTGGTTTGGTGGTGATGAATTCCTTTAGCTATTTCTTGTCTAGAAAGCTCTTTATCTGTCCTTCGATTCCAAATAATATCTTTGCTGGGTAGAGTAATTTTGGTTGTAGGTCCTTGCTTTTCATCTCTTTACTATTTCCTGCCAATCCCTTCTGGCCTACCGTGTTTCTGTTAAAAAGTCAGCTGTTAGTTTTTTGGGCGCTCCCTTGTAGGTAACTACTTGCTTTTCTCTTGCTGCTTTTAAGATTATTTCTTTGTCTGTGATGTTTGGCATTTTAATTATGACATATCTTGGTGTGGCCCTCTTTGGATTCATCTTGTTTGGGACTCTCTGAGCTTCCTGGGCTTATATGTCTATTTCCTTTGCTAGGTTAGGTAAGTTTTTTATCATTATTTCTTCAAATAGCTTTTCAACTCCTTGCTGTCTCTCTCTTCTCCTTCTGTTACCCCTGTACTGCAAATGTTGGTACCCTTGATGTTGTCCCAGAGGCCCCTTAATCTCTCATTATTTTCCTTTTGCTGTTCTGTTTGTGTGGTTTTTGCTACCTTATCTTCTAAATCACTAATTCAGTCCTCCATCTAATCTACTGTGGATTCCCTCTAATGTATTCTTAATTTCAGTTATTGTATTCTTTATTTCTCACTATTTTTTTTAATGTTTTCTACCTCCATTTTTATGTTTCCTATCTCTTTGTTGAAGCTTTCCCTGAGATCATTGAGCATCCTTATAACCAGTGTTTTGAACTCTGGGTCTGGTAGATTGCTTCTTCATTTTGTTAAACTGTTCTTTTTGTTTTTGTTGTTGTTTGTTTGTTTGTTTGTTTGTTTGAGCTGTGTTCTGTTTTTTCATTTGGGTTATGATTCTTTGTCTCCTCATTTTGGCTGCCTCCCTGTATTTGTTTCTATGTATTAGGTAGGGCTGCTATATCTCCTGGTCTTAGTAGACTGGCCATATAGATATAGTAGATGTGCAATGGGGTTCAGTGGCACAATCTTCCTGTTCACCCTAGCTGGGTGCTTCAGGTGTGTCTCTTGTGTGCATTGTATGTGCTCTTCTGTTGTAGTTGATCCTTGGTTGCTCTTTGCACATCAATGGTAGGAATTGACTCAAAGACTGATTGGTTGTGAGGACTGGTCATGACTACAGTGGAGGAGCTGTGGTGCAAGGGCTGACCCTACAGATCAGGGTTCACTGTAGTAGGGCTTTGGTGCCTGGCCAGTCTGCCCTTTGGTTGCATCATCTTTGGAGGTGGTCAGATGATGCTCTGGCTCAGTCTGAAGCTGGTCAATGAGCTTGCCAGCCCTGGGACCTTCTGGGAGGGGCCTTTATACAGTCCAAGTTTAGCCCTAGCCTGTGTCCTGCCTGGGGACACCTGGCATGAGCCACAAAGCAATCCACAGATGGCCACCTGCACTGTGCTTGGAGGTGCTTTGCAAGACCAAGCTGCGAACTGAGGCCGGCTGGCACTAGTGCCAGGCTTGGGCCTGTTCAGCAAGAGGTTTGGGACATGCTGAAGCCAAATGCTGCTTATTTGGGTTTTGTGAACCTTTGAGAGATTTTAGGAAAGTCCACAGCATGAGCCAAGATTTGGTGTTTGTATGGAAAAGCCACTGGAAGTGGCTTGGGTGTGCCCCAAAGTTGTGTGTGTGTGTGTGTGTGTGGAGGGGTCTCCGGGAATCACCAGGACAGATGAATGGTGTTAGCCAGGTTGATGGAGACTTAGATATGTCTCTGCCTGCATCTACACTCCAGGAGAGTGGAGGGCTAAACAAATAAACAATGGATTCTACCAGCACTTCTTCTGTCTGGGAGAAAACTGCCCCTCCTGCCCTTGCCTTGAAGCCAGACAAATTAGTACTTTCCCATATGTCCCTGGTCCCTTTTAAGCTGCTGCCCCAGTGCTGGAGCTCAGAGTGAGTGAGTCTGTCAGTGAATAAGTTTGTGCTTGGGCCTTTTAAAGAGAAGCTTCTGGGAGTACATTTGCCCTCCATCTCACTCAATCACAATCTCTGCTGGTTGTCACAGCCAGAAGTCATGGGGACTTCTCTCCATGGCACTCGAACCTTGGGCTGGGGACCCTGGTGTGGGGCTGGGAACCCTCTCTCCTCCGGGTGGTACCAATGCAGCCGAAATAGCCCTTCTGATTTTTTAATGGTCACATGCAGGTGTGGGACCAGCTTGTTCCACATCTCTGCCCTTTCCACCAGTCTCGAGGCAGCTTCTGTTTGTCCTTAGCTGTAGGGCTTCAGTTCAGCTGGACTTCAGGAAGATTCTTAATGATGGTTGTTCTATAATTTAGTTGTAATTTTGATGTGGTCATGAGAGGAGACAAGCAAAGCATTACCTACTCCACCATCTTAACCAGAAATCTACTCTATGTTAACATTAGTTTTTCTTGACATGTATTCAAGCCTGTCCTGTCCGAACTCATAGCTCTCAGTCTCTTGAAAGTTTGTGTTTCACGTATTTCTCTTACCTCTAACTCAACCTTCAGTGTGTTCTTCACCTCTCTTCTCATTGCTCCTCTGAAATTTCTGTTGCTGATGTCACCAAAGATCTCTACAATTTCAAATCCAGTGGATGCTTCTCCCTCCCTCCCTCTCTCCCCCACTCTTATTCTGGGGTATCACGTTGTAGAATTTTTTTGGTTTGTTTTTGTTTTTTGTTGACCTCAGTTTTTTACTCATTTTTCAAGACTTCTGCTTGTCCTTGGCTATACCCTCTTTTGGTTCATTTCGTTTAGGTCAGGCCATCTGCTGCTCCCTGCAGTGAAGATTTCCCAAACTAGAGCTCTGTGACTTGCTGCCATTTCCTCTCAGTAGTAACTGTATCATTCTGAATTACCTGGAAGAGTCTGTGAAAGTTTGGGTATAACTTTTATTTAATTGACCTACTAAGTTCCTCCATTGGTCCGCTTCACTTTTCAGGGTCTCTCTTGGAAATTTTATCCGTTTTCATAGCTTTCATCATCATTTTAGGATGATGATTACCAAACTCACATTTTGAACACTATTACAGTGTTGGCTGCCTTTTCTGTTGGGTGAATTTTTATAGATCATTGTGTTAGTACCAATATTAGACCTGGAAATGCCAAACAAGTGAGTTAATCCAAATATCTTTAAGCTTCTGAAAAGCAATTCTTCACATCAGCATTGTATTATTGACGTTTTCTTTACTCATTTGTTCAACACACATTTGAGATAAGGCTTCAGAGTGGAGTTGATGATTGATGGTATCTTCTTACAGGATAAATAAGTAGAATTTTACCTGGTTGACAAGGCGGAGTAGAGCATTTTAGAAGAATAGACTGTGCACATAATGTGTCTGGTCCATCATTCAGGGGTGGGTATGATGTGGTGAAGGACAGAAAAGCACTCTGGAAAATTAGAAAGGTATCATATTGGACATACATGACCTTGAATGTCAGTCCAAGGAATTTGACGCTTTCCTGTTTGCTCTATTAGTGATAGTTCCTAGCCTGAAGTAGATGACTAATGAATGGTTTTCTCTGGTGGGTAGAAGGCTATATGGAAACCATTCTCATAGGAGAAGACTGCAGTTGTGTTTCTATGCCACCTCATTCCTGTCACTGCTATGTTCTCTGTCTTGGCACATTCACAAGAGTTCTTGAACGAAAAAGTTTGGGAGACATTGAGTTAGGCACCCCAAGGAAAGCAAAAATGAAAATATGACTATACTGAACTAAATTATCGTTAACAGATTTTTCTACTATTGTTTAGGGAAGAATATTCTAAGCCTGAATTTCAAAGATAATTGTCTTTAAATGAGCTTCCAGAAGATACCTGGTAGTATATGCCTTTCCCTTGTGTCCTGTGCAAATTCTTATTTTATTTTTTAAGAAGTGGAAAGTATCCCATCACCTTTATGAAATGTTCTTGATAACTCTCAGTGTAATTGAAGAAGAAAGTGCTTATTAACTGAGTGGGTGCCCAGCATTATTAGGAGTTTAACTGTTTCAAATTTTCTTACCAGTTTTGGGCAAGATCAGAAATATATTTTAGACTGGTAATAAAGCAAACTTTGCATCCAAAAGGTATACAACAATTAATTGTAATTCTATTCTTTTGAACCCTTGAAGAATTTTCAGAGACTTTTAGCTGCCAGGTAAACACTGAGCCCAGGCCTCCCTAACCTTTCTCTGTTAGTGGGGAACAGGCACCAGTGACATTCAGCAATTGTTCTCTCATTCCTTCCCTTTGTTTTGGTTTTCTTTGCTTGCCTCTTGCTTCTTGGCCTTTCAGTGCTAACAAAGTGTGCTGTGTACTTGTATTGTTGTAACCACTGTCACTGCAACTTTGAGCCTCTCTACTTAGGAGGAATTTGTTGGAATTTTGCTTAGTTCTAAAAGCATTTCACTTAGTAATTAAGGAAATTTATTTAATTCTTTCTTATATCTTAAGAAAGTACATTAAAAGTACTTTCTTTCAGATGTACTTTTATTTTTAAGGTAAAAAACAAAGTTGTTAAAATAGTACAGAATTTATCAGTGCACCATATTAGTCACGATTGATAATACGATATTTTACATAATTAAAACATTTAAAACTTCCAAATGCTTTTTACGTGTGAGAACTAAGCTGATCTTAGAACACTTAGAAATATAGGGGGGGAATATATGTTCTATTATCTTAAAAATGAACAAATTGAAGTTTTGAAAGAATAAATAACTTTTTTGTGCTTTGATCAATTTCTATGGTGTAATCAGGACTAAGTATCAAACCACTTTCATGATACTCTGGTGTTCCTTCTTGGTGTGAAAGAACAAGTAATTGTATTGCATAGTACGGGGTCTAAAAATTACATTCGCAAACTCACCCTAGAAAAAGTGCTACACACCTCATTGCTAAATATCTCTACGGTCACCTTCAAAGTACTTCCTTTGGGTACTGACGCCAGTGTGTAGTCCACCCTTCAAAGCAACTTTGGAACTCTTTTTTTGGAATGGCCATCAGAGCTGTTGTCATATTACCCTTGATGTCCTGAATGCCATCAAAATGTCTTCCTTTCAATATTTCCTTTATCTTAAGGTAGACAAAGAAGTCATTGGGGGCCAGATCAGGTGAGTAAGGAGGGTGTTCCAATACAGTTATTGGTTTACTGGCTACAAACTCCCTCACAGACAGTGCCACGTGAGCTGGTGCATTGTCATGAAGCAAGAGTCATGGATTGTTGGCGAAAAGTTCAGTTTGTCTAACTTTTTCACTCAGCCTTTTCAGCACTTCCAAATAGTAAACTTGGTTAACTGTTTGTCCAGTTGATACAAATTCTTAATGAATAATCTCTGATACCAAAAAAGGTTAGCCAACGTTGTTATAACAAGTTCACGAACTTAATTGTCAAACATCGTGTATTGTTTCTCAGAGGCTTCATAAACAAGATTTTGAACCAAACATTTTTCTTGACTCTGTCAAAGCTTGGTGTACTTTATGTATACTGATTACCCTTAGGAATAATCAGAAAAGTGTTGGTGTGTACAAAAAGTCCTAAAAATATGAGTCAGTTGAAACCTACCACATCTTAAAAATATAACAATTCTACTCATCTTCAATTGGAGATCCTGTAAATAATTTTAGATATAAAAATAAGTTAATTTTTATGGCAGAAAAGTTTGCTTGTGTTTTGCTTAATATTTCACATGTAGAATTTTATGCCTGTATTAATAAAGGTGTCCCTTCTCTAAACAGGAGAATGTACTCATCGCCTGCCACCTGTGAAAGCCCCTATTCAAACAAAGAAGAAAACAACAAAGCATTGTTTTCTTTGTGGAAAGAAAACTGGACTGGCTACTAGCTACGAATGCAGGTAGGTTGGCTAACTGGCAAAGCTGAGGTGATTTCTTTGTGGTCACTCAACTTAGTGGTATAATACAAAACATGCTTTAAATTAGCTATTCATAACATCATTAAGATGATGTTCAAATAGCAACCCTCAGGTGAACTCCTAATTAGCTGAAGTAAAGAGCAAGTAGATAGCTCATGAATTGGCAAACTCATGAGATCCTCCCTTGCCCTTTGAATGAGGAGATTTAAACCAATGGGAGAGTGTACTTTCTTTGCCTTATGATAGATATACGTGGTTTTTATTTGAATATAGCTTGGAAGAACCCCTCCTTCTGGATTCTATTTTAAGTTGAACAAAAAAGGGACTAAATCTAAATGTAGTATAAATTTTAACGATTATATGGCACACTTTTATTTTAAAACAGATGAATAATATACTTACAAAAAATAATGAAGTTTTTTCTACCTATAATTCTTTATTTCATTAGCATTCATTAACATGCCCCAAGGATGGTGTTTGCCCTTAGGTTGAAGCCAGGCATTAAAAATAACTGCTGCTTTTTAGAGTGTGTTCTATTCAAATGGAAACAGCTTATCTTGTTGCTAGAAATATTTTTAAAATCCTTTCATGGCTTACTTAGGTTTTACATAATTTAATTTTCTTATGAGATTGAATTTCTCAGAAGTTCATAGTTCTCCCAGGTTTAAATAGTGGATATATTTATCAACTTTTGCAATTTTACTACTTCATAAAGATCCACACTGCTTTATTCCATAATGGATTTTTTTATTATAAACTCTCACATTCCTGGACCATTAACTCGTTCTTTTGGGGGGTTCTTGTGCTTGTTTATGAGTGGAAGGGAAATGAGACTGCTAGAGAACCAAAGGACTGCTGTTGGACTACCCGAAGTCAAGCTCTGATCCCCCAAACAGATGGGCCTCGACTAGAAATGTGACTATTCACATGAATTTTTTTTGTGTTTTAGATGTGGAAACAACTTCTGTGCATCTCATCGCTATGCAGAAACTCACAGCTGCACCTATGATTACAAGAGTTCAGGGAGGAGATACTTACAGGAGGCAAATCCTGTAGTTAACACACCAAAACTTCCAAAAATCTAACTCTTGCTCTGCGCCTAACTGTTCTGCCTGAGGAATTGTATTGCAGTGACAGAAGAAACATTGTTTAGAGTACATTAATTTTGTTTGACTCCAAAAGATTTGCCAACTAATGAAAGCATATGATGCATAATGTTGGAGAATGAGAATGCTATTGTATTTGATATCTCTATTCTTTGGTGAATCAAAAGTTTTAAAATTAATTGTAAAAACTTTATAATGATTTAGCTTTGTTATTGCATCTCTTGTGTTAAGTATTTTCTATATTTGATGTTGCAATTTTACTAGACAAGTCTGCAAAATATGCACTTTAGGAAGTTAACATTGACTATGTAACCAGCTTCCACTTTGTACAGGAATGAGCTGTCAGGTCATGGCTCTACTCAAATGTACCACTTGTGTGTGGGGGTGGGGTGGATGGAGATTTTTAAAAGAAAAATCCCACGTGTGCAAGTTTATTGAGTTTACTAGCAAATTCCTTTTTATTTCAAGTCACTTTTTATTTAAAAAAAAAGGGGGGGAACATTTGGTTTCCCATGTGGCTTTAACACAGATTTCTTCCATATTCACATTGGCATTCAAATATGTATCCATTCTATAAAACACATCATGTTAATTGTAGTATATATTTCTTAAAATACTACTTTTTGAATATTAGTTTTAAAATAGAAGATGTCCCACTTGTTGTCATTAAATACAGAACCCAACTTTTTACTTTTTGAAAAATGGCTGCGTTTAAAACATAATCTCACAGCTTGGTTTGTTTTTTGTATATGTTGAGTGCTATTACCAGAAGAAATTCAAATAAACATTCAATTTCATTATGAGTTTGATTTTTGATTATTTAAAATAACTTTTCTCTTATAAATGCTTTTTAATTAAAACTATTTAATTAAATAAATCAGTAATTTATTCTACTTGGAAAAAATGACTATCAGTATAAAGATATTCTTTTAAAGAATAAGGAACCTGCTGTCCAGATGTAACCAATATGCCATTCAAGCTTTTGGGAGGCCAATTGCTTTATGGAAGTTTAATTGAATCTAATGGTGAACTCTGGTAAACAGCTACAGGCAACCCACGTGGTGTCTGCCGGGTTACCAGAAGGCTAATTTAGGGCCTCCACAGGGCCTTGTTCTCCATGCAAAGGTGAATGAACTGGCGAGTTCTCTTAACCGTTCTGTACTTCCTGTAAGAGCTTTAATGTTGGATGGCAAAAGATACCTTCATCTTCCTTTAGAGCAGTGGTCCTCAACCTGTGGGTTGCGACCCCTTTGGGGATCGAACGACCCTTTCACAGGGGTCGTTTAAGACCATCGGAAAACAAAAAGATACTTACATTACGATTCATAACAGTAGCAAAATTACAGTTATAGAGTAGCAACGAGAATAATTTTATGGTTGGGGGTCACCACAACATGAGGAACTGTGTTAAGGGGTCGCGGCATTAGGAAGGTTGAGAACCGCTGCTTTAGAGCAAGAAGGAAATGTATTTACAGGAGGAAAAATGTGAGAAATTAGTTGAGCAATGCCACAATTAGGGGTTGATGGCATACTTTTCATGGGGGGTTGTATAGGCTAATGAAAAATATTTCCATCTTTGTTGAGTAGTTCAGTTTTTCCTCCCTTATCAGGACATGTGCTTTAGACATTTAAAATCTAAGAACTCTATTACATGGGCAGGCTGCTGAGAAATGGACTGAAACATATTTATTCTATAAGTAAATATGAATACTTAGGGCATGCTAAATGCACTATGCTTTTTAAACCACAGCCACGTAGACATGGTCTTGTTTTAACTTTACCAAAGAGTTTGGTCAAAGTTGAAATTTTTTTTATACTAATTTCTAACTTACTGAGAGATTAAGCTAGTTTAATTCAAGAAATTATTTCTTTATTGGGAGACATTTCTTTATGCTTTAAATTTTTATAGAGGAGCATCATAATTTTAGAGACTTCAGATCTGCCTTTGCATTCCTGGTAATTAGCAGAGTGCCGTGCATATAGCCACTGGTTAAATAGTAGTTAAGTAAATTAGTTGTATTGTGGCTTAACCATGATTTTTAAAAAGGCATTTATATTGTTTGATATAACTAAACTAATTTTATATTATAAAATTCATTTTCTGGTTTTTTTTAAATGGTAAGCATTTGGTTTCAGAAACATTAAAAGTCTTTAAATTTTTAGCTGAACTATAAGAAATATTTTCAAGTTAAGTTTGGTGCATTTTAACCATTCTAACATGGGAATTTCAAATACCAGATGTTTTTAAATTGTATCAGTGTTGCAACTTGTGTAGGGATTTAATTATAGAAAAGAAGACAGGAATTAATTTTCTGATATATGTTTTATATGGTTTTAAGCCATCATGATAAATAATCCAGTTTTGTATCTAACAGTATTTTCCAAAGTATGACCTCTTTACCATCCCTGACATGTGCATTGATTTTAAATGGTATATGGATGAACATTTTTTTAATAATTATATATTTTTAATGTGTATCAGAAAAATATAACTCTAAATTGCTTAAGTCGAAAATGAAAGAAATTAATATAGGTTAAAAAAAGTTGACTGAAAGTTGACAAGCAAGGATGTATATAATAAAAAAACATAAAAGTAGATGTGAAAAACTGAAATTTAGGAACTAATGGTATGATGGTCTCATTTTTCTTTGAAAATAATGTTAAATTTAAAAAGTGGTTAATGAAAGTAAATTACATGGCTTCTAGAAAAACTATATAAGGATAGAAAAATGAAAGTACAACTCTTACCGTAGACCTCCTTCCAATTTCTTTTTAAAGATTTTATTGGGGAATTGGGGAAGGGAACAGTGTTGGGGAATTGGGGAAGGGGAACAGCCAAATTGTTGTCCTTCAATCTCAGTTGTTGAGGGCGCAGCTAGCTCAGCTCCAAGTCCAGTTGCCATCTGGCCACCCATCGGTAGCTCGTGACCACTCAGCTCAAGGTGCCATATTCAATCTTAGTTGCAGGTGGGCATAGCCCACCATCCCATGCAGGAGTCGAACTGGCAACCTTGTTGCTAAGAGCTCACGCTCTCGACTGCCCGTCGGCAGCTAAGGGCAGCTCAGATCAAGGTGCCATGTTCAATCTTAGTTGGGTGTGGGCATAGCTCACCATCCCATGCAGAAGTTGTACTGGTAACCTTGTTGTTAGGAGTATGTGCTCTCACCAGCTGAGTGATCCTGCCACCCATTGGCAGCTCAGCGACAGCTCAGCTCAGGCACAGCTCACTGACCCATGTGGGAATCGAACCGGCAACACTGTTGCTCAGAGCTTGTGCTCTTAACCAGCTGGGCCACTGGGCCGGACCTCCTTCCAACTTCTTTAAAAATTTTTAATTTTAATTTCTCTGGTAGTTACCATCATAACACTAGCCAATATATTTAGATATTTTTTTCTTTCTGTTTTTTTTATTAGTTTCAGGTATACAAAACAATGTATTAGTTGTACATTTCACCCCTCACAAAGTGATAACCCCCCTCTCCCAATCTATTGCCTCTCTGACATCGTATATATCTATTACAAATCCATTGACTCTATTCCCTATACTATACTCCATATCCTGTGACTATATATATATATAAAACAATAATTGACATACAATATTATTCAGCTTCAGTTTCAGGTGTATAGTGCACTGGTCAAACATCTACACCATCCATGAAGTTGTCTCCCTAACAAGACATGTGCCCATCTGACACCCTACAAAATATTTACAACATTATTGATTATATTCTCCAAACTGTCTTTCATATCCTGTGGCAATACTGTAGTTACCAATTTATGCTCTCTAATCCCTTCTTTATCTCCCTTGTCCCCACCCTCCTCCCATCTAGCAACCATCAGTTTTTCCTCTATATTTCTGAGACTATTTCTGTTTACTTTGCTCATTTATTCAGCTCTTTAGATTCCACATATAAGTAAGATCATATAATATTTGTCTTTCTCTGCCTGACTTATTTCACTTAGCGTAATGTTCTCTAGGTCCATCCATATCATTGCAAATGGTACGATTTCATTCTTCTTTATGGCTGAGTAATACTCCATTGTGTAAATGTACCACAGTTTCTTAATCCACTCGTCTACCGATGGGTATTTCAGTTGTTTCCAAGTCTTGGCTATTGTAAATAGCGCTGCAATGAACATAGGGGTGCATATATTTTTTTGAATTAATGTTTTGGGTTTCTCTGGATAGATACCCAAGAGTGGAATTGCTGGGCCACACGGTAGATCCATATCCAGTTTTTTGAGATACCTCCATACTGATTTCCATAATGGCTGCACCAATCTGCAGTCCCACCAACAGTGCACTAGGGTTCCCTTTTCTCCACAACCTTGCCAGCACTTGTTTGTTGATTTATTGATGACAGCCATTCTGACTGGAGTGAGGTGGTATCTCATTGTGGTTTTTATTTGCATTTCTCTAATGATTAGTGAGGTTGAACATGTTTTGATATGGTTATTGGCTATCTGTATGTCCTCTTTAGAGAAACGTCTCTTCATACCCTCAGCCCATTTTTTAATTGGGTTGTTTGCTTTTTTGGTGTTGAGTTGAATGAGTGTTTTATAAATTTTGGATATTAACCTGTTATCAGATATATCATTGACAAATATCTTCTCCCATTCAGTAGGCTTTCTTTTTGTTTTATTGATGGTTTCCTTTGCTATGAAAAAACTTTTAAGTTCGATGGAATCCCAAATATTTATTTTTTCTTTTGCTCCCCTTGCCCAAGGGGCTATATCAGTAAAAATATTACTGAGGGTAATAATTTGCTGCCTATATTTTCTTATAGGACTTATATGGTTTCAGGTCTTACATTCAAGTCTTTAATCTATTTTGAATTTGTTCACATATATGGCATAAGGAGGTTGTCCAATTTCATTATTTTGCATGTGTCAGTCCAATTTTCCCAGCACCATTTATTAAATAGACTATCTTTACCCCAATGTAAATTCTTGCCTCCATTGTAATAGGTTAAATGACCATATTTTTTAATGGATATATTTCTGGCCTCTCTATTCTGTTCCATTGATCTGTGTGTCTGTTTTTATGCCAGTACCATACTGTTTTGATTACTATAGCTTTGTAGTATGATTTGATGTCGCGTAGCGTGATACCTCCAACTTTATTCTTATTTCTCAAGATTGCAGTGGCTATTTGGGGTCTTTTATGGTTCCTTACGAATTTTAGGATTATCTATTTCTGAGAAAAATATCATTGGTAGTCTGATAGGAATTGAGTTGAATCTATATATTGCTTTAAATAGTACTGACATTTTAGCTATATTCTTCCTATTTATTAACATGGTATATATTTCCACTTATTTGTATCTTCTTTGATTTCTCTCTTCAGTGTCTTATAATTTTCTGAGTACAGGTCTTTTACTTTTTTGGTTAAATTTATTCCTAGGTATTTTATTGTTTTTGAAACAGTTGTAAATGGGATTGATTTCTTAATTTCTTCTTCTGATAGTTTATTATTGGTGATGAGACCCGCTCATCAACCGAAGCTACCCGAGTGGTCTGGGTGGGAGATTAGAAAAGAAAGACACAGAGACAAAAGCTGGGATCAGGAGGTCCACTGACCGCTGATGGTGGAGCAATGGCCATGTTTATTTTTTGCAGAAAGCTTATATAGTAGCAAACAGCTGCAGAGAGCAGTAAACAGCTGCAGGGGGTCTGTTTATCGGGGTCTGTTTATATGTATTAGTAAGTTACATCCTGTTATGCACTTCTCTAAGTGCACAAACAGGTTACATTTTGTTATG